AACACTGTCTAGCCTCCTAATACCTCCTTGGTCCTCTCTGTACACTTCCTCTTAAGCCTCACTCTGTTTTCCCCACAACTGCTCTCTGTTTCCCTCTCTGTATCTTTGGTACGTGAATAGGGTTTTTTTCCAACCCTTGATACAGAGTAACCATATATATATAGGTGTAAAAACATAAACCCTAATCCGTGTTTAATTAGAGACAGAGCCCTAATTCTAAACCTAGTCGGCCCATGAAACTACCTTTGTTACGGCTTACCTAAATGTGAAATTTCCAACCCCAAAGTTAACTGTAACTTAACACAGCATTAAATAAAAAAAACAATTAAATAATTAAATCCGCTTAACTAATTAATTCCAATTAAAAACCCAATTAAATAATTAAAAACACTTAATTCAATTTAAAACACATGACACATAGGTAAACAACAATTAAACCAAATAATCACATAAAACAATTTAATTCAAATTTCAAATAACCAATTAAATAAAAATGCGATAAAGATAATAAAATAAATTAAAAGGCAATACAATAAATATGTTGAAAATGCCGAGACTATCCTTTTTAAAATTAGGGGTATTACACTTTCACTCATTTGTCAATTTGTTACAAAAAGGGGGAGTCCACCTGTCAATATCTAAAATGGGGGGAAGAAATAATTGGATATTTACTTTAGGGGGAGTTTTTAAATTTTTATTTATTAAACTTCACTGGTAGTTGTTGCTTGATAGTGTGCAGGAAACAGGTCAAGTTTTGAATCCAAGAAAAACAGTGTTCCTATTACCTTTAAGCAAATCATGTAATTTACTTTTCTATTTTGGGTAGATTACAAATATTGTTTTTAGGAATTTGTCATGAAATTGCCAAAGGGGGAGATTGTGAGATATTATTTATTTTTTGGCAATTATCGTAGACATAATAAGTCCAAGTTGAGTTGTTATTTAAATGACTTGTTTTACAAGTCATCAAGTTCAACAGGGATTCCACAACTGGGAAGGAGTTCAAACTTACCTTACTTGAAGAGTTTGTGATGAAAAGGATAAGGACACTACATTAGAAAGGAATATGAACAAGGTTGGGCATTCTACACTTTCCATGTTAGTATACAATTTCCGTAGAATGAACCAAGGTTGAAGGAATTCGAAATCCTAGTCTGCCAATCTTGAACCGGTTCAGCTTCCTTGAACTGGTTCAAGATGTTCAAGTTTGACACACTGCTAAACTTGAACCGGTTCAGCTTTCCTTGAACCGGTTCAAGACCTCCTGTTTGCAATACAACTTTAGTTTCCTTTTTCTAATTAATTTTCCAGTTGGTCTAGAATTGTACCAAATCCTATGCACGAAATTTACCTTATTTTCAGGGGGATTAGGTCATTCTATAATCTATATAAACCATGTTATATACATTGGTTTATTCACTGCTTTTACATTATAATTCAGATATTATTCAAAGCCTTAGGAAGTTTATTTCTCTCAGAAAATCAAAATTGATTTTTCTGTTGTCTTCCTAGAACCTACATATATATATTCACCTAGTGAGTCTAAAGTTGTGCTGGTTGAATCCTGATCGTGATCATACAGTTGTATTAACATCGATCAGACAAAACAAATCTTCTTCTACATCATTCAGACAATTGAAGAATAGAAGTAAACGCAGTCACACTTTGGAAGGGTTGGAGCATTCACGGAGTGCTGTCTGATTTACCTGCTCCTCTTCTACAAATATCAAGTGTAAGCTTGAGATCAAGTTGTTGTTGGACGGGGAGTCGCAAAGCTAGAGGATCGTCAGCGGTTGGTGTGGGGTAGAACGATAAGGTGTGAACCAGAGTCAAAGTTCAGTATATTTTGTTCCAAGCATAGTGGATTGGTTTACTTTGGACTGCACAAGTCCACGAGGTTTTTCCCATAACAGTTGACGTATTTTATCAACTGGAGTTTCCTCGCTAAAATCCTAGTGTCATCTCTAACTTTATACTTTACTTTATTTTATCTGCATGTGATTAACTGTTTAATTGCTAAAATATAAAATAAGTAAAGTAGTTAAGGATACAGATCTGTTATACAAAACCTAAAACTTTCCAGTTTACATTCCGCTGCGTACGACTCACATATTGGTCACTCAAACCCATCTACTCCATCAAATAATGCAGCAACGACACCAAGTTTGGTTGAAGGATTCGGCGCACATAAGCGAAAATGATCCGACAAATGTTGAAAAATGTCAGCGATCAAAAGGACGAAAAATAGCGAAACAGAGGCGAAATAAGGATAAAAGACAATTTGAAAGTCAGAATGATTTCATTAGCAAATTTGATCATGCAACAACCCTTTATCAAAAACAATCTGAAACTCTTAAGGCCGCTCAAATAGCACGAGAGGCACACAAAGCAGATAAAGAAAAAACCAGATAACTCGAGCTTCAAAACAAACTAAGAGAGATTGAAAACAAACAAAGAGCTAAAGAGATGTTAATCATACAAAAAGATCCGGAATCGATGCCAACACAAGCCGGGAAAGCATGGATAATTGAACGTCAAAATGAAATATTAGCATCTATACGCGTACTCGGCAACTCAAGCTTTCCATAAGATTATCTCAAGCAATTCATATGATTGTTCAGTTTTTCCTAATTGTTATGTTTTAATTCATGTTGTATTGTATTATTTTTTATTTTTATTGTATTGTTTAAATTTATGTCATTTTAAATAATAAATATTGTAATGTTAAATTTTTTTTTTTTTTTATATAGCCGTTTTAAAAATATAGCGTTTGGAAAAAGTTAAAAAATAAAATTTATTAAAAATTTAAAAAATATTAATATTTTTGGAAAGAAAAAATGCTAACATTCGATACTTAAAATTTAGAGATTTTAAAATGTTGATTTGATTATGAAAAATACTAACATAACTATTAAAAAATATTAATATGATAAATTTAAAAGGCCTAAATTTGAAAAGTTTATCGGAGACACTCGTAAGTAAATATCAATATTAATTGGTAAATGACTTTCCGAAAAAATATATATATATATTAATTGGTAAATGCACCTACACAATCAATGTTATCTCCAGCAGCTCACCATCACACTTCCATCATCAACAATATCATCTCCAAAATATCAGAACAAACCCACGTGAACAATTTCAAAAGCAAAAAAAGTTGTGCCAAAAAGTCAGTGGGGCCCGCGTCAAAACATCTTTCCAGCCCACCTTTTCATTCATCTGATGCACTATATATATATATATATATATACATAAATATAACAAAACTAATTTAACCCATCAAATATCTCTTTGTGGGCCCGCAAAAGCCATCATCTTAATTTCCATTTTCTCTCAATTTCGCCACCTGCCGATTCTCATCTCTGTCTTCTCTTTATAAATCAGCACGTGCACAATTCAAGGCCAAGCACAATGAATCAAAAAGTGAACCCCACATTATCATTATACACTACCATTCAACATTCGCTCTCCCTCTTATCTCGGCCAGCCCATCCATTATGCTTCCTTGGTAGCATAATTGGTAAATGCACCGACACAATCAATGTTATCTCCAACAGCTCACCATCACACTTCCATCATCAACAATATCATCTCCAAAATATCAGACCAAACCCACGTGAACAATTTCAAAAGCAAAAAGAGTTGTGGCAAAAAGTCAGTGGGGCCCGCGTCAAAACATCTTTCCAGCCCACCCTTTCATTCATCTGATGCACTATATATATATATATATACACATATATAAATAAATATAACAAAACTAATTTAACCCATCAAATATCTCTTTGTGGCCCGCAAAAGCCATCATCTTAATTTCCATTTTCTCTCAATTTCGCCACCTGCCGATTCTCATCTCTATCTTCTCTTTATAAATCACCACGTGCACAATTCAAGGCCAAGCACAATGAATCAAAAAGTGAACCCCACATTATCATTATACACTACCATTCAACATTCGCTTTCCCTCTTATCTCGGCCAGCCCATCCATTATGCTTCCTTGGTAGTTCGTTTGCGGTTTGGCTCTGTTTCCTCTGTAAATTTATTTGTTTTGCTTTAAAATTTATGTCTTTTTTTACTTAATTTTATGTCTTTATATTGCCATCTTAGCTTAAAGTTTTTGTACCTTTTAATGACAAAAAAAAAAATCCATTATGCTTCCTTCAAAAACAATATATATATATATATATATATATATATATATCAAAAACCAATTCAAAGTCTCAAACCCATTAAATCATCACTAATGAGACCCGCAATACCATAACCATTTTCTTATCTTTTCTTTTCCCATTTCACTGCTACCTTGCTGCCATGTAACAAATAAAAACTCAAATTAAAAAAATTGAAATATCATAACTCAAATCTCCAATCAATAAGTCTCCAATTATAACAAAATAATCAATTTTGTCAGACCAAAAATTATGAGATAAATATAATATCTTTAAAATTCAAGTTGTTATAGCGGAAGCGTGAATTTGAAGCATGATTTTTTTTGGTTGACTTTTGGAGTGTGAAAGCGTGAGTTTGCAAGCATGATTTGTCGCGATTTGCCGGTTGACCGCCACCACGGATGAGCCTACGATAAATTGGTAAATTGTTTATCAGATCTAAAGATTTGGTACCATATTAAATATAAAAGGAAAAGTATAATTTTGTAATATATTGATGTGTTGCGTATGAGATGTATAGAAGAGGGTTTATATAGTAGAGGTTACGAAGAACAGGAAAATCGTGTGTGTGTATATATATAGACACACACACACGATAACTATATATATGGTTTTTCTATTAGAATCTTATATATGGTAATAGTATATATAGTTATAATATATTATATATTCTACTGTAACAAGATGTTTGTTTGTTTGATGAAGAGATTTGTTCTCAAATTGATTAATATTTCAATGAGTCATCACCAATTTAACTTTTTGTTCATTGGCCTTTTGTTAAATCTCAGCTTCAATTCAAAAAAAAATTTCTTAGTGATGAGATGGTGGCGTTGATAGATTCACACATGAATGGACTTCATAAACTATAAATTTCGAATAAGACATAAAGAAAGGGAGTATAAAACAATCTTTAGTATCAAGAAGTTAGTTCACAAGCTTGTTATAATGGCATCTTTCTTCAATACTACTAAAGCTTGTGAACTAAAACCGAAAAAGAAAAAGAAAAAGAATGAAAAAACTGGAGTATAATGAAGTTCTCAGTATGCCCACATGACATTACAAGTACTAAAAATTTTCATAATATTTATTTAGCAAATTGTGCAAGGAAGCAATATAAATCAACCCATAATTTGTTCAATGAAGTGATTGAAATTCTTGAATGATGAACCACCTTCACTGATACTCCGTCCAGCCAATTCCTTCATCTTCACTGCATTTGCTCTTATACTGCCATCGGACAGCAGCATTTCCATCTGTCTCCTTATCTCATGCCTTGAGATGATTCCATTTCCCTCTGCTTTCAATCCTAAACCCACCTTCCAAACATCACAAATGTAGTTCCTATTGAGAAACTGGTCTGCAAAGTAAGGCCAACACAGAAAGGGCACACCCATGCTCAGACCCTCTAGGGTTGAGTTCCAACCACAATGGCTCAGAAAACAAGCAATAGAAGGGTGAGCCAACACCTTCTCCTGAGGTGCCCATTTGACTATCTTCACATGGTCACCGACTCTCTCCGAAAACCCATCAGTAAGGTCTGATCTCACAACCCACAAGATTGGTTGCGCTACCAGTTCAAGTCCTAGTGCCAGTTCTTCGAATTGTTGAGCGCTGAAGATTGCTGTGCTGCCAAACGCAACATAAATGACTGATTTGTTAGGTTGTGCGTCGAGCCATGTTAAACAGGTTGAGTCCTCTGGCCAAAAGCTTCCTGTGGATTGCTCAAGGCCATCACTTGACAGTAATAATGGACCGATTGATAAAAGTTTTGGGATCAATTTGCAAGCCGAAGACTCGAGCTCGTAGAATGAGTTGCAAAGAAGCCAGTTTGAAGTTTTGGCAGCTTCAGCTGAGGAAATTAAGCATGCAAATGCCAGCTTTTGTAAGGTTGGGTTGCCCGGGCAGTTCCATAGAAAATCAGCACTACTCATTGCAGGCGAGTCCGGTGACAGACTGATCATCTCATTTTTCAAGGCAGTTCCTATGAAAAAAAAATATATACAAAAAAAAAAAATCAAATAAATACATAGATAGAAGCGAGAATAAATGACACTCCTGTTAAATTAATTTTGTGGATTGTTGGCTTTTGTACAAGTATGTTCTACCCTTTGTGTTGGTTCCTTGACAACCATGAGGGAAAAGGAACAGAAAATTCATCTAAACACATGCATGACTATTTTCCTTTCCTTTCCCTTCCCTTCCCTTCCCTCCTTTTCCCTGATAATCAAAAGAGATTTAAACATTCAAAGGATTGACTGTGTGAACAAAAGAATACTTAAACCAATTGTATATCCAGCTTTAGGCCTTTAACATGGGATTACTTGCTGTCGCTATTTGAGAAAACTCTCTCTCTCACACACACACAGACTCACACCTAGCAGTATTTTGTTGTCTATACATAAAGTACTTGTCCTGTTAGAGTTGAGTAAGAATTGGATGTACCATTATTATCAATTACTCCACCCTCAATCAGCTTTGGAACGTGGAGACTCCAGGCAAAGGATGTCACTGAAGGCGGGAAAAACATGGCATTCTTAATTCCCATCTTCTGAGCAATTCCTAGAGCCCATGACACTCCTACGTCAGCAATGACACAAGTGATCTGTTCATCAACGTCACTTGATAAATTGATCTTGTTAATCAGCTCCTCCAAATGACCAGGCATCACTGTTGAAATAGATTCACTCAGCTTTGTCAGATCTTTCCGGTCATCCCCAGGTTCAAGTCCATCAGGGACCGATACCATTTCAATCCGGTTTTGCTCTTCGCCTTTCTCAGGCGATGCTGCCAAGATTACATCATGTATGAACTCTGTGCTCACAAATGTAACCTTGATACCGCGATCAGCAATCCGTTGTGACAGCTTCATAAGGGGCCGGACATGGCCTTGTGCAGGGTATGAGACTGCTAGCACATGCGCTCGTTTGCCCATGATTTCTAATTACACTTGTACAATCTGCTTTGGGCATTTGACATAGAGTAGTGCTATACTGCCCGACCATTTACCCGACCCCCACCGACTGTCCTACGTGGCCGTTCACGTGTTAATGTTTTTTTTTTGTTTGAACCGGATGCCCCTTCTCTCTCCCTCCTCTCTTTCTCTCTCTAACAATCAGCGACGAACCTTTCTGGCAAACATTCGGCGACCACCGGTGAACTATCTTCTCCGTCAAAACTATCTTTCTCTCTCCAGTAAACTCTCTCTCTCTCTCTCTAAAAACGAGTGAGACCCATTTCCATTGTCAGAAAAATATATATATATATATATATATTCAGACTCATTTAGTTTCTCAAACCCTTAATGAAATTGGGGGCAATCGATCTCCATCTACAAATCCAAAGAGCTCAATCCATCACCCTCCATGGCCTCCACTTCAATCTCACCTCAACGAACCAACCAAAAACAAACCCATTGAGGCAAGCATATATATATATATATATATAGGGATTTGTAATTACCGAAAAAAATATAGAGATTTGTTGTGGGTGTATATTATCATAGAGAGTGAGTAGAGAGAGGGGTTTTGGTAATATTGCTGATGGGTCTTTTGGATTCTGATTTGGTTTTCAAGGTCACATTCATGATACAGAGAAAACATTGATGGTGGTGGAGTAGGACAGAAAAGAGGAGGCTACATAGCCAAAGGCGGAAACTGAAGGTGAGGACATAGGCCTTGAAAGTCAGAGTGGCTGAAATTCAAGCTCAAAAGGAAAGAGGAAATCCAAATATAACAAGTGTGCTGTGAGGGATCAGTACTCTAAGATGTGAAGGGAACCGGTGTCTCAAAAATTACATGCTCTCGAAACTGGTCCGACTGTTCATCTTGCTCAATTGATGGGTATCGAGATGCTCTCCTTCCTCCAAGAACCTAGCAAACAACTCAACTAAAGCTCTGCTATAGAGTTTGTTTTTTTTTTTTATGAGTAAAGCTCTGCTACAGAGTTGTCTCTCTATCCGCATCACTTCTTCCTGCCGATGGGGTAGGCGGTGGCGACGGTGGTGAGTGACTCGACGGGTGGTCGCTTGGTAATGGTGGCTACGGCCGACGGGCAACCGGTGATACCGGAGAGGTATTGCGCAGTCGCCAGTGAAAGAGATAGATGAGAGAGTAAAGCTGAGTCGAATAGAGGGGGGGGGGGGGGGGGGGGGACTGTGCGCCAGATGGACCAATCTAATATTGACATGTACTGTCGGTTTTTAGTCGGGTGAAAATTAGTCGTCAAATTAGCATTTTCCTTTGACATATATAACGTGTAACTAATTTCTTAATATTTTTAAAATTTTTTAAAATACAAAATAATTTTCATTAAATGTTTTACATTATATCATATTACTTTACATTATTTCATATACTTATATATATACTACTCAGAATTCTAATAACCACATATATATATATATATATAAGTGAGAAAAAAAAAAAAAAAAAAATCCAATATCTACATTAGTTAAATAAGTCCTCTCTTCATATATAAAATTTTAAAAAATTCAATAGTCACATGTGATTAATGAATTAAATGAGTCATCTCTCTGAATATAAAAGTTAAAAAAATATAATAATCATATATGATTAATGAGTGCATATATTTTTTATTATTTCTATACATTTTTAACAATTTTGAATTCAAATATTTTTCTAAAGGTTAAACACAGGTACCCCAATCAATATTGTAACTAATTTCTTAACATTTTTAAATTTTTCAAAAATACAAAATAGCTTTCATTAAATACATTACATTATATCATACACTTATATATACACTACTTAGAATTCTAATAGCTACCTATATATAAAAGTGCAAAAAAAAAAAAAAAATTATCCAATAACCACGAGTTAAATAAGTCCTCTTTTTATATATAAAATTTTAAAAAATCTAACATTCACATGTGATTAATAAGTTAAATAAGTCATCTCTCTACATATAAAAGTTAAAAAAATATAACAGTCATATATAATTAATGAATGCATTTATTTTTTATTATTTCTATACATTTTTAACAATTTTGAATTCAAATATTTTTCTAAAGGTTAAACACACATACCCTAATTAATATTCCCAAAAAAAAAAAAAAAAAAACATTTTTCTTCCCACTTTTTAAAAAACAGCTCATTTCCCTTCCCCAAAAATTCCATGCAATCCATAATATTCCAAATAAAAAATAAAAAATTCTATTTTTTTCACAAAAAATTTGATATTTTTAATAGTTTCCAAATACAATAATTATTTTGTTGGCAACTTTACTCAAGGTATAATATACTATCTTTAAAATTCTTTTTATCTATATATTTACACTATCCATATAAGTGTAAATTTTTTGTTCTTTTTATGTACTTTTCACTGTAAATATCAATTACAATTAATTACAGTTATTAATATTATTTCTTATCCGACACACTCCAAAGGACACCAAGACTAAAATTTATTGCATTTATTGTGGAAACTCCAAAGGACACAAACAAGGCTTTGATCAAAATTAAATATAGTTATTAATACTACCTCCGTCCTTTATTAGTTGTGCATCTTTAGTTTTATAACATTTTAAGGGAACATGCAATTAATGTATTGCTCCCATTTCAAATTACTAAATTATCCTTCAAACTTTAAATATATACTCCTTCTGTCCCAAAAAAAGATGCCATGCTTTCTTTTTGGTTTGTCCCAAAATAGTTGTCCACTTTCTTTTTTCAAATAATATATTTTACATCTTTCCATATATGTCCTTGGAGTTTAAAATTTCAAACTTGAATATAAGAGCAAATTAGTAACTTTTCAAGGAGACAAGGCATGTCCTACATGTTTCCTTAAAAATTATTGTCCCACATGTTCCCTTAAAAATTCCTACTCTCCATAAGCGACATCTAAATTAATACAGAGGGAATATATAACACCAAATTGTAAGATTTTTGAAAAGTTAGAACGGTAATTTTGGAAAGATGACATTTATTTTGTATGACTTTTTAAAGTGGATTAGGGATGTCAATTTTTACCACCCCACCGGGGCCCCACCCCGTTAATAACGGATATGTGAACACTTTTTATACCGTTGGGGCGGGTATGGATACAAATTTTGTACCCGTCGCGGGTCACGGGGCAGGTAAGGGTTCAGTATACATATCCTAGGGGCCTCGCCCCGCCCCGCTCCGCTAAGCGTATAACTATATTTTATATATATATGTAAACTTGGTATTAAATTTGCTTTTGTTTTGGTTATGGTGGAAGTTGGAGCTTAAAACTTCTTATGATTTGGTTGTATTAAACTTTTATTTTTGTTTATTATGTTCTCTGAATTATGTTATGTGCATGTTATTTTTTTTATTTTTGTTGGGATACATAATTTCATTTATGTTGTGCCATTCCCAGACTTTCCACATTCAAATAGCAGGAGCTTAAATTCCAAAAAGTGGGAGAAAAAAATTTGTTAGCCAGGCGGGCACGGGGGCACAGTATTTCCCAACAAGATCAGGCTGGACATAAAAATCCAACCCGTCGAAAGTCTTGGGGCGGGCATGGATTTGATAAAAATTAAAAGGGGTGGGGTAGGATTTAAGGAAACCTGCTCCAAACCCGCCCCATTGTCATCTCTAAAGTGGATATTTAATTTGGTGGACAACTAATATGGGATAGAAGGAGTATAATTTTATTTTCCTAAACCATCTTAATTCAAAGGCTTTTCCTTTTCTTGATATCTCCAAATGACACAATTCTTTTGCAAAACTAACTAGATTTATATTTTCTTTCTATTAACAGACGAATCAAACAAGATGGACGAGGAGCAGTGGAACATGTGGTTTAGATACAAATCCAAAAAAGGTAGTATTATTGTTATATTAGATCTTGATTGCCAGTAAAAAAAAAAAAAAAAAATTAGTAATATGATCTCATTCTCAAACATTCAGTGCAAAGAGATAGATTTAATATATTTTTCATTACTTTATCAATTTTTAATACTAATTTAAATTATTTTTCTTGTATAGATCATTGTTATGGAAATTGTAAAATCATTAAATTTTAGATGGTGTTGATTATGAGATTTTATTGCAATGTAAGGTACGCATCTTTCTTTAATCTTGAACTTGTAATGTTGCAGTTTAATACAGTTGTTCATATTTTATCAAATAGGATTAAGTGCTAAAAAAAATTCTGATATATAAGGTTTGTGCAAAACTAGTTCCTGCTTTTTGAAAATGTGCATGTTAGTCTATAAAATTTAAAAAATGTGTAAATAAGTCCCTCTAACAACTTTTTAACAAAAACTATGAAAATTCTATTTTACCCTTTTATGCCCATTTTACCTCTCACCCCTATGCGCATATGCCCTTTTCCAGATTCCCCCCTCATTTCTACGGCTCTTCCACTTCACCTTCTTCACATAATTAAATCCACTCCAGATGCTGGCGGCCATGACTTAAATCCACTCATCAGATTTCCGGAAAACGTTTTTTCTTTGTTAATGGATTTTCATTACATGTTACTGGCGGCCATAGACAATAAGGGACGGAAAAGCGTCATTGATTTGTTGGTTGGCATGAAGAAGAAGAAACATGTACATTTCTTCTTTAGAAGAATTAAATGTTGTGGGGTTCTATGCCTCTATTACGAATTTATTAGATCATTTTAGAATTTATTTTGATTTTGTCTATTTGAACGGCAAGAACAGAATAACCATTGAAACACAAAAACAGAGAGTACCCAGAAGTTACACTAAGGGTCTGTTTGGCATACGTTTTGTTTTTGGCGTTTTACTATTGACAAAAACAGAAACAATGTTTTTGTTGTAAGAGTATTTTGTAAAGAAATTAGAAACCCGTTTGGGAATGATATTTTGTTGTGAAAATATTGGAAACAGAAACATGCAAAACCCATTTGGTCACTGCAATTGTTTCCAAAAAAAAAAAAACTAAAAGTGAAAAAAAAAAAGAAAAAAAGAAAAAGAAAAGAAGTCAGCCTTATCTCAGGACCTTAGCTGGCATGAAGTTGTCAATCTCTCCACCTCTGTCGTGATCTTCATGTTCCTCATCATTGGAGGCGAAATGATCGGCGGCGGAGGGAGGGGATTTGCGGCGGATTTTGATGAGGCGTTCGAGAGCTTGGTCGAGGTTACGCTTGTGGATGTAGAAGGTAGAGACTGCCATTACCGACGCTCCGAACAAGGCCGCCAACGCGAGATGACGACTCCATTGTTCTGGGTTTGGTTTGTGCTGTGTTTGGGTTTTGTTAGGTTATTATACTGGTTTGGTTTTGTGTGATGTGGGTTTGGTATCAGATTAGATTTTACAAAAATTGGGGTTTTAATTTCAATAAAAGGTTTCAAAAAATCTTCTAGCTTTGAAACTGGGGCTTTTATTTTCAACAAATGGTTTCAAAATTTTGGCTTTGCCGAGAGTGGAATCTACTTGAGTTAGATTGCATATTCAACTTCAGTGACCAAGAATAATTCAGAATTTCCAATTATGAAAACATTGGCAGCCATGGTTTTATTTCAGAGCACCAAAGTAAATATATCATGTGTCACTCGGGTTACTGGTTGAAAGGAAGAAGATGAAGACGACACTGGTTTGTTTCTGTGTGATCTGTGTTTTATATGTTTCAAGTTTGAATCCGGCAAATGCAACTTCGATCAGTGATGATGAAATTTTCTGAAATCGCCTTGAATCGCAGAGAGAGTATTGGGAGAGGAGAGAGAAAATTTGCCAAAAATAACCTAAAATGTTTATATACCTGAAGTAAGTATGTTTTAAGTTGGGCCGGCTACTTCTTTTGCTACAGTGAAATCTTGGGCAAACAGGGCTGAAACAAGATAAAACACCATTTTGGTGTTTCAAGTTTTGATGCTTTTTACTGAAATGTTTTACAACTGTGCAAAACAAAACATAATTAACCAAACATGTTTTGGGCTTCATTTGGGCTACTGTAACGGGCCTAAAACAAAAACAATAAAAATAAAATAGATACCAAACAGGCCTTAAATAAGATTTTTGCTAACTTACCAAGAAAACAGAAAACAATAAAAAAAGAGAGAATTTATTCAGATTTAGGGTTTACAATTTTAGATTTAGATAGAGATAGAATATTAGGGTTTATATATGTAAAAGATATGAAGAGAGAAAGACATAATCGAATAT